TTCTCCGGTGGCAGACACTGGCAGAACAGATCTGGGATGGTAATGCAGGCCCAGTGAGTAAAGGGTATGTCTGAGATGGTACCTGCCTGGGCAGGGCTTGGCAGGAACGTGTGCAGACATGGCATACTCCCCAGGTGGGGCTGAGCCAGAAGGAATGCTTTAGTGAGTCTAAGAAACACCTGGCCCTCAGGGGATCATAGCTGAGACAAAGTCAGGTAGGCAGAGGCTGGAACTCAGAGCCAAGTGTGAACTCTAACTGCACCCACCCCAACATAGACTGCAGCGGAGACAGACACACCAGCTTTGGGCAGCACCACAGACCAGGGCTGAGTCACAATTTCTATTAACTCAAACAGCACCTGGTCTGCAGGGGAATACAGCCAGGACAGAATCACAAATTCTGTGAAAATATAAGTGTCAGCAACATCAATCAGGGGCAGGACTGGAAGTGAGTTAACTGCCCCAGCTTCCATTAACCACCTGAGGTTGTCAGGCCTCAGCTCTCCCTGATGGATGGTGGCAGAGTGGGGAGGCCTGGCTGAGGAGACATAGATCTCCCTGTGACCCAGTCAGGCACAAACCCTTGGAGCATTTGCTCATTGGAGAGAACTGGGTCACAGCCCTGTGGGGTTATCAATGACTAGGTGTGACAGAGGTGCAAGGTGGGGAGGAGGCATCAACCTTCCCAGACTAATTCATTTGCTGGGGTGAGTGGGTCCTTCTGACTCCATGGAGCACCAGAATGATTCATACTCCAGCTGCTGGCACACCCTTGCTGTCTAGTTCCTGGAGAGTTTTTGAACTCTCCCACTTGAGACAAGGTGCTGACAGGGACAATTAATTTGGATTTATTGGACTGGACCAATCACCCAAAGACTATCCAAAGTGGTACCCTGGGTGTGTGGTTGTGGGAACGTTTGATTTTCCTTTTCCAGTTGTTGCCCATGGGGGGCAGGGTGACTTAATTGCTGGTATTTCTCCACAGCTGAGACTTCAACCCAGAGTAACTGATTCACTAGGGTAGGACAGAGACCAGCTGAAAATAAGACAGAGCCACTAAGCCCCACCACATCAAGTAAGTCCCCAGCATCTCAGGCCGTAGCGCTATATGGGTCCTTTGCAAAGCTCTGGGGGGAAGGTACAGACATCAGTCCCAGCTCTTGGGTAAAGGGTTGGCTAATCACTACTCCAGGAGCCCCTCAACCCAACTTATCCTTATCTGCTCATCTAGCCAAATGGTGTAAAATAATCATGGGGCAGAATCAGCAGAAAAATTCCAGTAACATGAATAACTAGAGTAGATCAACTCCCCCAAGGAACAACATGGCAGACACAAGTGAAGATCCCATTCATAAACAGATGGCTGAGATATCAGAAATAAAATTTAGAATTTGGATTGCAAATAAGATTAATAGAATGGAGGTAAATTTGGAATTAGAAATTCAAGGAGCATTTCAAAAGTTGTCTCAAGAATTCAGTGAATTCAAAAACAAAAATCACCAAAGATTTTGACACATTGAGACAAGAACTTGCAGCCCTCAAAGATCTGAGAAATATAGTAGAATCCCTCAGAATGGAACAAGCAGAAGAAATGATTTCTTTTTTTTTTTTTTTTATTTGCGATGATATCACAGCTCACAGCAACCTTCAGCTCTTGGGCTTAGGTGATTCTCTTGCCTCAGCTTCCCAAGTAGATGGGACTACAGGTGCCTGCCACAACATCTGGCTATTTTTTGTTGCAGTTTGGCCAGGGCTGGGTTTGAACCTGCCACCCTGGGTTTATGAGGCCAGTGTCCTACTTACTGAGCCACAGTGCCGCTCCAGAAGAAAGGATTTCTGACATTGAAGCCAAAGTTTTTTAATGCTGCCAAATGCTCAAAGAGGAAGAGAAATGAGAGCAAAACCAGATCATTCTCTCAGAGAGCTCTGGGATAATTCGAAGAAAACTAATATTCACCTTATAGGAATTCCTGAAGGCGACGAGGTGGCTTCGCAAGGCACAGAGGCTCTTCTTCACGAGATTATGAAGGAGAACTTTCAAGACATGCCAAGAGATTCTGAAATTCAGTTTCAGACAGTTTCAGAACCCCAGCACAACTCACCCAAATAAGACATCTCCTAGGCACAACATAATTAACTTCACTAAAGTTAATATGAAAGAGAAAATTCTGAAAGCAGCCAGACATAAGAAAACCATAACCTACAAAGGGAAGAATGTTAGAATGACTACAAATCTTGCTGCTGAAACCTTTCAAGCTAGAAGAGGGTGGTCATTGACTTTTAATATCCTAAAACAAAATAACTTTCAACCCAGGATCCTGTATCCAGCTAAACTGAGTTTCACTTATGATGGAGAAATTAAATACTTTAATGATACTCACATGTTGAAGAAATTTGCCATAACTAAACCAACTCTGATATTCTCAGACCTATCCTCCATAATGACCAGCACAATCCTCTACCACAAAAGTAAACCCACTCAGAAACTTATGATCAAATTCCAACTTCCACAGTGGTGAAAGGATTAAAAATGTCCACTGGACTTTCAAAAAACTTGATACCCAAAATTCTACCAGACTTATCAATATTCTCAATTAGTGTGAATGGCTTAAATTGTTCTCTAAAGAGGCACAGGTTGGCTGACTGGATACAAAAACTCAGGCCAAATATCTGCTGTGTACAAGAATCTCATCTTACCTTGAAAGATAAATATAGACACAGGATGGAAGGATGGTCATCTATATTTCAGGCAAATGGAAATCAGAAAAAAGCAGCTGTTGCAATTTTATTTACAGATACAATAGGCTTTCAATTAACAAAAGTAAGGAAAAGATGGTCACTTCATATTTGTTAAGGGTAACACTCAACATGATGAGATTTCAATTATTAACATTTATGCACCCAACCAGGATGCACCTCAATTTATAAGAGAGACTCTAACAGACATGAGCAACTTGATTTTCTCCAGCTCCATTATATTCGGAGATCTTAACAATCCTTTGGCAGTGTTGGATAGATCCTCTAATAAAAAGCTAAGCAAAGAAATTTTAGACTTAAACTTAACCATTCAACATTTGGATTTAACAGACATCTACAGAACATTTCATCTCACAAAACTGAATACACATTCTTCTCATAAGCCCACAGAACATACTCCAAAATTGATCACATCTTAGGTCAAAAGTCTAACCTCAGCAAGTTTAAAAGAATAGAAAATATTCCTTGCCTCTT